CTCCTCCTCCTCCTCCTCCTCCTCCTCCTCCTCCTCCTCCTCCTCCTCCCGTTCCTCCTCCATTCCTTCTCCTTATAGATAATTCCTCCCCGTCGCCCCCCGAGGCCAGTGTTTAGGGCGGGCCGGGCGTTTTGCCTGAGACTTCCTCACCACTCATGATTCTGAAGTTCAGACTCTGAAGGTTTAAAAGTGACACCTGTTTCACAGATGGAGGGTGGGTCGTTTTCAAAATGTGGCTTTCGCCTAAGCGCCGCGCACATTCGTTTTTAACAATTGCATGCGTTTAGCGGATTGATGGCGGGTGGTCTTCAAAATGTGGCTCTCGCTTTAGCGCCGCGCGCATTCGCTTTTAGCATTTGCAAGAGTTTCACGGATTGAGAGCGGGTCGGTTTCGAAATGTGGCTCTCGTTTGAGCGCCGCGCACATTCGTTTTGACACATTTGCAAGAGTTTCACGGATTGAGGGCGGGTCGTTTTCAAAATGTGGCTCTCGCTTTAGCGCCGCGGACATTCGTTTTGAAACAGTTGCAAAAGCTTCACGGATTGAGGGCGGTTCCTTTTCAAAATGTGGTTTTCGCCTTGGCGCCGCGCACATTCGTTTAAACATTTGCAGCAATTTTGGATTTCGAGACTCCGCGTGCCAGAAACGGTGCTTTTGAAGGATTCAGGATTTTGCGGGCGCAGCAATTCTGTTGATTCGCTGTGCTGACGTCCCAACAGTGGTTCTCTGGCACGACTCCGGATCGTCAAGACGCAGCAGTCAGGTTGATGCGTGGCGACGAAGTCGTGGGAACAATGTTCTGATATGCTCCAGGATATTCAAACTGTTGTCTTCCAACGAGGCAGTTCCCTCAACGGAGATGATCTTTTGTAGGGGCTTATGAAGAAGGGGCACGGCGAGAGGGTTAATCCCACCAGCCCTCTGGGCGTCGGTGGTTTAGAGCGTTTCCTCTTCCACCCCTCCTTCTTCCCCTTCGGGGAAGGGTTTACCCCTCCCCCTGCCCCCTCCCCACTGACCTGGACAGGGGCTTCCGCGGCGCGCTGGAGCGCCCAAGATCGACTCCTGGGAAGGCTAAAATTCGACACCCCTCACGAGGATCGTGGCTCCTGGGGGGGGGCTCTAATTAAGGAACCCCTCTTCTTTGATCGATTCCCACCACGATGGCCGCAAGAGGCCCCCAGGATGCCCCAAGAGGCCGCAGGATGGCCCCAAGATGACCCCAAGAGGACCCCCAAGAGGCCCCCAGGAGGCCCTCAAGAGACTCCCAAGAGGCCCCAAGAGACCCCCCAGAGGCACCCAAGGTGCTCCCAGAGGCCCCAAGATTGCCCCAAGATGGCCCCAAGAGGCCCCCAGGAGGCCCCAAAGAGGATCCCGAACGGCCCACAGAGGCCCCCCGGAGGCACCCAAGACGCCGAAAAGCACCTCAGGACGACCCTCTACTCGCCTGGGCGTCGTTTCTGGACGGGCTGGTGGGGATACGCGAAGCGTCTAGATCCCAACGCATCGTTGATGACTCTTGGGGTTCCACTGGTCCTCCTCCTCCTCCTCCTCCGCGCGAGCGTCGGAGCGAGCCCGAGGACGGGCCCGCTCGAGATCCCTTGTCTTTCCAGCTGGCCACCAGCCGCGGCACTCAGGGCGCGAACGCCTGGTGCTGGTGGTCGAAGCAGAAGATCAGAGACTTCCAACCACCGCCAACTGAAATATCCACACGAACTCCAGACATCAAATCTCCGACGCCAGTTCGAAGAGGCAGCTCAGGTACGCGACCTCGTCGGGATACGAACGGCCCCAACGCTCCCTCATCGGCCGAGTGGGCTGACGCCGTCAGCCCACCAGAAGAATGCTCTAACACCTCCGCTGACGCTGAGGGGGGATGGCCAAGAGGAGACTACATCACCTCGAACTGCTCGCCGAACTCGCCGCGCCGGGCTTCGGCGCAGCTCCCGACATCGGGTGGCGACCATCAAGAAGACGCTCTAACTTCTTTCGGTTCTGCTTGCCGTAGGACGTGGCGGTGCTTATGCGCGCGCCACCGCCGCAACTCTGCGTCGGGCCCGTCGATCCCGAAAAGGCCTTGCCAAAACATCCACGCCTTTTGCGCGCCGTGTATGGTCCCGCATTGAAAAGACCGTGAGAACCCTTTTCCTCCGTGACCTCATCGACAGCTGGCGGCAAATCCCCCGGCGCCCGATCGGCCCCCAGCAACGCTTGAGTAACCGCCTCGTACTGCGTGGTGGGGGTGTCTGCCTTGCCCGCGTAATCAATCCGAACCCGACGCTTGTATCTGCCCGACTCCGTCGGAGCGCATGCGGCAATCTGAACATTGGCCCTGACCTTGTGCTCTTGCGCACCCTTGCCGCGGCGCACGCATCGCATGTAGCCGCCCTTGGGCTACACAAGCTGGTGCCTTTGAAAGATTAACTGCCCTGGCGCTCCATGCTTCCGTGGCTATGGTAAGAGATCAGGGTCCTTCCAAGCTTCTTCCGCAAGCATCTAATCAATAGCTCGGAAGAAATACTGGGTTACCTTCTGGTGGTGCCTCAAATCCGCCAGGTAGATGTCAGCTAAGACTGTCGAAGCACGATGTTGGGGCGCACCTTCTTTCGCGAAGGGATCTGCCCACCAGTTGCCGTGCCGCCATGCCAATTGAAAGCCCAGCTGGAGGTGCTCGCCCACGTCTTTATGCGCTGGCACCCAGGCAAACATGGGCGGGATTCCCTTGACAGTTGAGAAAATCTTTCTCCAGATGTCAGCATCTTTGCACGCTGACGCTTCCAACGGAGCCGACCAACTGTGCGCTTCGCGAACCAAGCCAGCCAAGTCTGAGATTGCCATGCTGACGTGCGGGCATAACCGCAGGACCTGAAACACGGCATATCTCTCCGCTCGGCCTACTGGTTGACGTGCTTCAGGAAGCGGCACGCATGCTGCCCGCAATGGTAGTCCATGTGCAGATACTTGCATCGCTGACCATCAACACCTGCGCAATTCTGGAATTGACGACACGCGCCCAGATCCGTCCTTGAAGATGGTGCCCGACCAGCCTGCTGGGTCTGAGCCCCATCGCCCCAGAAAAAAGACATGTGATTGAGCCGCGCTGGGATCAGCAGGAGGAGGTAGAATTGGCAGGCCCACAGAGAGTTCCAGCGTCTCGTAGTCGGGTTTGCCCAGTCCATTATGGTTCCCTTTGTCCGCGAGCCACTTCTGCGCCTTCTGCAACTTCTCAGGCAAATTGAGCTCCTCACTCTGACCAGCTCGATTCATCACCCCAAGAGAAACATGCAGCCGATGACCCGGCGTATCTAGAGGCTCATCACATACTCGACAAGACTCCTCTCTAGCGAGGCGAGGCCCATGAGATATTTCTGCGACTGCGTCCAAGGCGTGCCACTCCACGGAGCTCGAGTACAGCTGGCCTGACTTGCCTCACTTATCGCCGCCTCTGGTCCTGCAGCTGTGGCTCTCATGGCCCTGCGCCGCAAAGGTGTGTCGATGCTGGTGCCGACGTTGTGGTGGCATGCTATTTTCCTATGCTGCCAACGCTCAATACCCTCGCGAAGCTGCCTCTTCACCTCCTGTGGGCACGTGGACAGCAATGGTATCTTCCCTCCCAAATCCGCGTGCAGCACCGTCGAAGAATGCATGCTCCAGCCAATGCGGTTCAGACTGCGCCATGCCCCAGCAACTGGCCCTCTAGCCATGGACCGTGCAATATGACTGCCTGGCCGCGATGTGAACCGAGCGCGCATGGATTGTCAGGCCCTCTCAAGCCTTCAACAGGAATATCTCTGATCCCAAACCTAGCCCGCGTATCTCGTCACCAAGTCCACCGTGGCCGTGGAGGTCGGGTCATTATACTTATGTTTTTGCGTGGCGAAAGATGCCGTCGGCGACGCGCCCTGCAGCTTAGCCCCTGGCAGAATACTAGCGAATCGCCGAAGTTGCTGCAGATGCTGATCGCTGACCCCTGAAACTCCTGCCCAATGCGCTGCACCTGGTAACGCGCCGGCGTTCCACGACGGCGCAATTCTGCCGCCAACTGCTCCGCGAAGCCGCGTGAGCCGAGCCTTTCTGCCCATCGTGCCTTGCGCTCTGGTCCTGAACTGCGTCCTCGTCCGCTTTCCACCGCGCGGTTCGTGACCAAATTGCGAATCCAATGCGCATGTTTGATGCCCAAATTTCCTGCTGGCCCTCTGCACTTCTAGGCCACCTGATGCGATGGCCCGACGAACCCCGACTTGTCCGTCTCCGCTATCGGCCCCAGCTTGAACACCTTCCCCTTGGAAGCTTTCACCGTGCTCCAAATCTTGGCAACTCCAACGTTGAGGTATCCAGTCCGCTGCGCCGTTAGGTCGTCCACTAGCCCACTCGGTATGATGGATGGTCCTCGTAGCTCTCCAAGCACGCGCCACAAGAGAACGCGTAAGACAGTTGTTGTATGTGAACACCCAGCCAGGATTCCTCGTGCCGTGGTCGCCGCTCGACTCAGTGAGCCACGCACTTTCGCGCATCGTGGCGTCTGATAAACCTGGACCAGCATCCACGGCAACCTCAATTCGAACTTCAGCGCCCTGGCCTCTAAGAGAAACATGGCGCCCTTTACCGTTTCATAGCGCTTGTAGGCATCCAGCCTGGCCGTGATGCTCGCCTCGTTAAATTTGATTGCCACCTCCTCCTGCAAATTGTTATCGTAAGCGCAATCAATCGAAGATCTGCCTTTGTCGTGCCCCCGCAGATCAGCTGACGGATTGTTCACCTGCCAACTCTTGAAGGTATTCGAGCGTGCGCGCCCCCATATCCGTACAAGAGTGCGCATTAATACGACCAATCGGCATCCTACTCTGGGCCGTGGAAAGCGAACCATGCT